CTCCAGCTCTGTCTCTGCCACCAGCCAGACTTTTGATTTTTCTTGCTGCTGGTTGCTTTGCCAGCTGCAAACCAGCTGCTGCTGGTTTACTTTTTTGTAAAGTGATTTTTTTTCGGCCCCAAAAGCAGCTCTGGAGGGGCTGTGAGCATCCCCAAGGTGCCTTCACGTGGCTCTGCCGTGGTTTTTGGTTTCATAACTTTCACTGGGTGAAAAAGGGTGAAACCTTTCAGCAAGATGAGCTGTGTTGGGGGAGTGAGGGCATTCTCACCCCATTCCCGCCCCTCCTTGCAGGCAAAGCGGGGATTGCGGGCGGGAGCAGCCTGAATGATGTCACCGACATGGACTGCAGCTCCTCTGCCATCGAGGAGCTCATCAAGGAGGTGAGTCCTGGTCCTCATTGTCTGACCAAACACTGCCTTCCCAAAATCCTGCCTGTGAAGCTGCAGGGGTGGATTTGCAGCTCGTTCATGGCTCTGTGCATCCAGGATGTCACAGCTCTGTGCCCCTTGTCACATCACACCCTGGCTGCTTCCCCTCAGTGGCTCTCAAGTGCCTTATTCAATTATCCAACCTGGGCAATGCCAGGCTTGATCTTCCCAACCCCAAAAATGGGTTGGCATTGCCTTTTGGAGCCTCCCTGAGTGCTCATCAAACCCTCTCTGACCCCGCTGTGTGCTGTCCCACAGCCCCCCTGTGTGGATGAGTACCTGGGGATCATCAAGAGGAGCCCCTCACCCMCCCAGGAGAGCTGCAGGAACCCCCCAATTCCCGACTGGTGGGTGCAGCAGCCCAGCCCTGGTGAGTATTCAACAGCTTGGGTGGCGTTTGGGACATTTTTGGGGCAGGAAAAACCTTCCTGTTCAGGGTGTGGAGTGGGGAACAGTTTATTTTATTTTCCTTATTCAGACTGTTGAAAGAACTTGTGAAAAAATCCATCTGGGAATTCTTGCTGGCGTCTCCCATGTGGGAGATGGGAAACCTGGGGCAGGAAATGAGGGGGAATTGGGGGATTGGGATTTGGGAGCTGGGAATKCAGGCTCAGCTCAGCTTTCTGTGCCCACAGCCTTGCCCCTGATGAATGGATACTCCAGCTACGAGCAGTATCACTCAGGTAAAGCCCCTGTCTGGGTGTGGTGGCAGGAGGTGGCTCTGGCTCTGTCCCCTGCCTTGAGGGGGGGTTTAGGGGGTGCTGCATTCATTCACAGGGATGAATCCTGCCTGGAGTTATGGGGCTGAGAGTTCCTTGGGGTGCTGGGAACCTTTGGGATGGGGTGGTGTGGGGGGAGCATGGAGCAGAGGCAGCAAGAGGGATCCATGTGGTTCTTGGCCAGAAATGAACCCATAAAGAGCTTCACYTCAGCGTGAGGAAGAGCTTCCCATGGAGAGGGGCAAACCCCTGGAGCAGCTGCCCAGGGAGGGTGGAGACATCCCAAACCCACCTGGATGTGTCCCTGTGTCCCCTGCTCCTCTCTGGGCACAGGGGTTGAACTGGGTGATCCCCAGAGCCCCCTCCCAACCCTTCCATAATTCTGTGACACTGAGAGCTGTGCCAGCATGAGGGAGATGTCCCTCCATCAAGAAAAGGAATTTAGGATTGGGGCACAGCAACAAGGAGCAATTTCCCTTTCCTGACACAACACTCACATCCTCCACCTCCCAGGCTACTCCCAGATGGTGATCAGCTTCTACTACAGTGGGAGGCTGGTTGGGCACGTCAGCACCTCGTGTTCTGAGGGCTGTAGGATCTCTCTGGGGCAGCCTTCGGGTCACGGTGAGAAGCTCTACGCCCCGGACACTCTGGAGAATGTCCGGTTCCCGTCGGCCGACGCCATCCAGAACGAGCGGCAGAAGCAGATCACCAGGAAGCTTTTTGGGCACCTGGAGAGGGGTGTTCTCCTGCACAGCACCAAGCAGGGCATCTTCATCAAGAGGCTGTGCCAGGGCAGGGTGTTCTGGAGCGGGAACACCATGGCTTACAAGGACAGGCCCAACAAACTGGAGCGGGAAGATGTGGTGAAGGTTTTTGACACCAATTTGTTCTTCAGAGGTTTGTAGGAGATTTCTGCTTTCCTGGGGTTGGGAGTTCTGCCTTTTGCTGTGGGAAATCAGTCCCTGGATGGGGTGGTTGAAGCTGATCAGTTGAGAGATGTGAACAGACCCGGCTGGCAGCGGTTTGGGGTTGGGAAACTTTCAAGAGGGTGGAGGAGAGGGTGGAATAATGGGGATAATCCTCGTGGCTCAGGTCAGAAACTGCTCCCTGGAAAAGCTGAGGCAATTCTGGGATCCCAAAGCCTTGGGAAAACACAYGAGGAGTTTCTGGAGCTTGAACCCAGTGTGGGACCCCCTTGGGTGCTGTGATGGGGTTGAAGGGGCAGAGACTTTTTCCCTTGAACTGCTTTGAAGGGTTCACTACTGGGTTCCAAAGTGCTCTGGGTGAGCAGGGGGCACTGCCAAATCCAGGAAAAAATAATGTGCTGGAGTTTTGGGCTCATTGGGCAAACTCCTTCCCATCAGAGGCAGTTTCCCTGTGGGGTGTGTGATCCCAGGGGTGTGGAACAGACTCTGACAGCCCAGGCCAGGCAGATTCTGAGTTTTCCTGTGTCCATACAGAGCTGCAGCAGTACTACAACAACCAGGGCCGCTTCCCGGACAGCAGGGTGATGCTGTGCTTCGGGGAGGAGTTCCCAGATGCTGTGCCTCTCAGGTGTAAACTCATCCTTGTCCAGGTACAGTGGGAATTGTGCCAGCAGAGCTCCACCCCTGCAGCCATGGGGTATTTGGGTGCCTGGATTTGGGGTGGAAGTGTGGAGGTTTTTTTCTTTTCCCTGATTCATGCTCGGGCTGTTTATCAAATTCCCAGATCTGGGTTTGTAAGTGGAGCTCCCAAACTGCACAAGCTTTGTGAGCTGCAGGGAAATCAGGGTTCTTCCTCCTGATCCTGTGTTGGCACTGGGACTTCTGCCTTTTCCTGTGGGAAATGGGGAAATAAATCCCTGGGCTG